ATCATTAATATTTCAAGAAAAATTAGGTGGCACTTCTATTCAAAATAGAGATTATTTATTAAAAACTTATGATCGGTATAAGAAACACTCAAATTGTCGATGTGATTTTTTTGATATAAATCAAAAAATGTGATAAATGTGATTCAACTTGTGAACGAAAAATTGTAGCTTGGGAAGAGGTACTTTACCAAAAGAAGTTGTTGGTCCATTCGAATTTGAAGAATTCAGAGAAATTAAAAAAAGTTTTACCAAAGCTTATAGAGAAAAAAAAAATATAAAAGAACTAAAGCTTGAAGAACATCAAGGAGATTTAGACAGTAACGAAATATTAGAAGAAGAAAAAACACCACTTGAAATATTTAGAGAAAATAAAAATAAAATTCTATATTGTAAAAGTTATGAGACGATGATAAAAATTTATAATGATTTACAAAAAAAAAAACAAAAAGAAAAAGGTAGTCGATTTTGGTGTTCTGTAACTTTTTATCTTTATGGTTCAGGAGAAAGCAGAAAATCTGGTCTTGTAACTGAATTATTTAGAGATCAGTTATATGCTGATAAACCAAAAAAACAATGAAGCAATTGGTGGAATAGTTATTATGGACAAGAAATGGTTCTTTTAGATGAATTTTATACAAAAATTGATTGAAATGATACAGTAAATCTTTTTAATGATACACCATATTATGTGGAGATAAAATCAAAAAGATTCAAACCTTTTTTAGCAAAATATATATTTTTAACAGCAAGAAAACCACCAGAAGAAGCTTATAATTTTGGTAGAACACAAAATGATGAAGAATTAATACAGCAAGACTAGAATCAATTCGAACGACGTTTAGATTATATTATTGAGTTTACTAGTAAATAGGATGATGATATTGAAAAACGTACAACAGAAATTATATTTCATAAAGGTGATGAAGAAAAGTTTCGTAATTTTGAGTGGGATGTGAAATATCGTAACAGGGAAAATACAATCAAGAATTGATAGAAAAAAGCAAAAAAATAAATGGAAATGATGGTGAACATATAATTGATGACAAAAAAGTTTATTGGCGTAAAAATTTTCCAGAATTTAAGAAAAATTATTTGAGGGATTATCCAAATTGTAAAGAACTTTTTGAATATTGAGAAGATTTAGAAGCTGATTATGAAGATTCAGTTGTTGAATCATCAAAAAAATGTAAAGCCAAAGAAATTGAAAAGGATGATGAAAAAAAGAAAAAATACTAGTTTGTAAACAGGTTTAAATTCAAGCTAGTTCTCCATGTGAGTTTTCCTCGATTTTTTTTTTGAAATTTTTTAGCTTCTTAAATTCTAAGATTAGAAAAAATTAGTAATAAAAAAAAAGAATTTTTAATCATGTCATATATATTTTAATTTTTCTGAAATAGGAAATATTATTTTTTTAACTCCTTTTTATAAATAAATATAGAAAAATTTAATCGGGTTTAAGTGTAACTTTAGTATGAATAGTATCTTTAATTAATTCTTTAATAAAAAAATTTATACTATTATTTTCGTAAACAAGTTTTTGATCATGAAAAATCTTTATTCCCAAAATTTGTGGTGGTAAACTTATATAATTAGTTGCTTCGTAATTTGTTTTTTCATGTAAACTTATTATACCCTTATCTTTAGCTTTTTGTATCGTGATTGGTACATCTTTATCTCTTTTATAAATATAAATTCTTATCCTTGTCGATTGTACATCTTTAATTTTTGTGAACGAGAAATTATATTCAGTATTTTTAATCAAATGACAAATGTTTAAAAAGCAAGTTTCCATTTTTATTTAAATTAATATTTATTATCTTGTTCTTTTATAGTTTTTTTATCTATATAAAGAGTTAAAAAATTTACAAATTCGTCGATTAAAATTTATCAAATTTTTACAATTCTATACAAACTTATACAATTTACAAAATGCTTTTTATTAAAAACATTGTTAAAAAAATCAAATCAACTTTTAAAAAACAAAAAAACATTGAAAGATGAATGGGAAAATTGTTTTCAAGAAGATATCAAATAGAACAATTATTTGTCAAATTTAACTGACAATAATGAAGAAAACTTCCCCTTACCGACAATTAAATTTGAAGAACAATTTATTGAAGAAATTAAAACTACTGAATATATTATATTTACAAGATATGAAGATTTCAGAGAATATCTTGTCGAACAAAATTTAATTAACCTTTCACTAAAAAATTACTATGATACCAAACACAAAAGGCTGAATAATATCTTGTCTTGGATAGAATTTCATATTCGGTCAATATTTTATAGATGGGGTGAAGGTTATTATTTTAACTATATCAATGAAACATTAGATTTATTAGAAGATGTAAATAAAAGAAATGTTGTTATAATTGATAAATATTTGTTAGAAGTTAACGAATATGTTAAAAAATATAATGTAAAATATTTGTGGAGCTGGACTGACCTTGAAGAATACAACAGAAAATTCTTAGCATATTAGTTTTTTTCTTCTTGTTGTAAATATTTTATCTAAATAAATAAAATAAAAATATAAATATAATTGTTTATTTAATATAATTCAAATTCACAATACAAGTAATAAAATTAAACTTACAACCGATATTGATTCAAGAAATCAATTATTAAATCAAGATTCTTGTTAAATAGTTCTTTTGAAACTTCAACTTCAAGTTGTGTTCGAAGAAGTTGCACATTTAAACTGTTTAAGTAAAGTATCCAGTAGTAATTAGACATTTTGTTTTTGAGTATTGAGAATTTTTTGTGAAAAAAATTTGTAAAATAAATTTTAAAACGAATAAATCATAAAGAAAGAAGAAATAATTTCATTCAAATTTATTATTGCAAAGAAATTGCCAGAAGTTTCTAAAATTGATTACGAAAAAATTATGTAATCTGATTAGTAATATATATAATTTTTATTGGTTCAATATTTTTCTGTAAGTTCTTTTTCTGGTTTTATTATTATTTTTGATTATCTTTGTGAATATTTATATTATGAACATCAGCTACGTAT